CCATTAGTCTGTACCCAACAGGCTTTATCTTTTGTTGTTGTCGCTGTTCCCTGTTACCAGTTATCTGTCTCGCTGTCGTCCCCGGCAGTTCGTTACCTCTTCGCCTGCCGGCTCTCCGCCGCGCCACTAGTTAGTTCGAACTGGAAGGGTTCCAAAATGTAGCGCTGTTGTGTGCGAGCTTTCGGTCGCCGTGGTTGGCCCTCGGTTGTGCTCGCGCTACGAAACAATGACAATTAAAACCGAACTTCAAAAAGCTTTTAACGAGGTCGGTCGCTCATTGCTCGTACAGATTAACGAACATCTACCGCTGTTTTATAAATTGGGGCTCGTGGAAAAGGAGTGAGTGTATTACGGGGATGTAGAGCAGAGGAAATAGTGGTTTAATGAGTAAAATATTGGTCATTTGTATCCTTCTGTAACAGTTTTTCCCTTAGGCGACTGTTTCTAAACAGATAGGACCTCCCAACTCTCTCATAGATAGATAGATAGATAGATTTATTATTTCTGCAGGTAGGTATAGAACCTGGAGGCAGAACACTACATTTTACATATTACAACTAAGAATAGTAATTCACTGTAATTTTAAAGCATTTTAAGGCAATAAATAACAATATAACAATAAAAATTCAAAGCAATTACCTATAAACACTTTATGACTGCCGCTGGACGGAAATTTTTAACTAATAGATTATACACTGCACTTACTTCAGCTTCACTACACTTGCATTTCACTTCGCTACACTACACTTTTGCAGCTTGAACGTCTCTATTGTTACTACACTTCACAACACTTCCACGACGACTCCAATTCAACTACTACTTTAAATATAATTTTTATATATCTTTAACAAACCAATTGTCATTAAATTAGTGATTATCACAATACTAATATTTAAAAAAAACAATTAATAATAAAATCAATAACTAAAATTAATAACTATTTTAATAAGCCTAACTTGGGATTAAATCAATGTCCCTGTAGTTCATCTACTTTTATGAACTTGTACACCGTAGAGGAAACGAGTCACATGGCCAGTGTAATTCAGGTAACTTATTCCAGTCCCGTTTATGTTCTAATTTGTGAATACAAAACATTCTCTCCAACCATCTGTTCTCTCGTGTTCTGAACTGAATTTTGTATTTGTGATCCCACTTGCTACTAAAGTAAGTGTCTATGCGAGTCCGAATGAAAATTATCCTTCCTAAGGCTGTGCTAACCGGCATAACGCTTCTGTACGTGCCAGAACTCTTGCCTTAGCGCTCCTGAGTTCTAGAGGTACTCGTCCATTCCATCTTCTTCTATGCTTCGGAAACGTAAGTTTACACCATCTTCTCGTGTACTCTATTCAAATATTCGCTTGTGAGATTTCTATACAGCGGGTCCCAAACAAATTGCCCTCGTATTTCATTAATGGATCGAACTAAAAGATAGGTTAGTTAATTCCTTCGCTTTCGCAGTACTTCTTGTTTAGTATTCTGCTTATGGTTAAATATGCTTCTTTCTGAAGACGCTCCAGGCTTTCCTTACGACAAAGGGTTAACCTGAACTTTCCAGTTTAATTGCTATCAAATTTGATCCCTGGGTATCTTAGCAAGCCTAGGACTCCTTGCGAATCTTTCGTTGCTAAACGTATTGACTTTTCACGATATTTGGCGCCCCTACAAGACGTGATGGTCTTGCTTTTGAACTATTTACCTATCATGCTACTTTTTTCTGCCCAGCAAATGTAAGTCTATTCCTAGAACCATCCTGCCAAAATATTCCGTCGTCTACGCTTTTATATTGAATACTCGCTATTAATTATACCACAGCTCATCTGCAACATAGTCTTACTTGAATATAAATTGTCTGGCAGGTCGTTTACAAACGCGAGAAACAGGAGTGGTCCAATATCGCTTTCTTGAGGGATCCCTGAAGTAACCTCTGCCAGGGTTGAAAACTGTAGTTGTTGAAGTACAACAGCGAAGGATAGAAGTGTCACAAGCAGCCGTTTGTAGGATGTAGAGACGAAGACACAACGCCCGATATTTTAAAAAATCCATTTTAAAATTATTATTACATTATAACAACATTAAAAACTATTAAGTTTACCTACGAATATTGGTTACATAATACTGTTTGCAAATATATCAAAAGAAATGTCTTCTGCAAGCCTGATAAATTGTTAATATCATGTATCTATCGTAGAACATGGAGTGATTAGTTGCCTTTCTTTTAAAAGCTGCCTCGAGACATATCGACATAAGAGGAAAGAAGTCCAATAATTACGTCGAAAACCTCTTGAAAGTCAATTTCGATACATCAAGTTGTTTTGTACTTTCGTACTTGCTGTAGAACGCCCGTTGAGACGACTTCGACGGAATCATCCCCGTAGAAGTCGTCGTCGTATACTCAAAGAATTTCTTTTCTGCCAGAGGCGAGCCCTTCGAAATTCCTTAGAAGCAGTTCTTGTCGACGACCCACCCGTCCGGGCCAGCTGTCGCGAGGCCACGACCTTTCACAGCGATTGGTACCGTTGCGCCACCCCCTACCCCCTTTCTGCTTCACCATCCTGCGATCGTCTTCCCCTCTGGGACAAGTTCTCGCAGCCGTTTAAAATTTATTTGCGGGTTAATGAAATAAGCCGGTGTCTAAGGCTTTCATATTTTGTGATTTTCCCTTGAAGTACATTAACTTTAGAGTGCAGTGCAGTGATCTTAACATGGGTATTGAATCTTATAGCATTTGGAAACAGACGACAATGTACACTCGAAAAGAATCCGGAATAGGTTTTATCAACAACAAAAAAGTTCAAAACTTTCAAGGTTCGCGTATCAAAATTTAACGTTATTCGACTAGAAAAAATATTCAGAATGCTATAGCAGGCTATGGAGAATTTCGGTAGAAAAAAGAAAATAAGAACAGATATGATCAAAGAAAGAAGAACTGAACCACACTGCGACTGGGCGACTGAAGGTCGAAGCCATTTAACTTCTGTACCTCACAGGGAATCAATCTAGAATCAATTCAGTTTATCTTTAACGGACCTGAATCAACTTAAATGGAGTTTTTCTGCGACTAGTCACTGAGGTCTTTGTCTAGTTATCTTTTGGGTGGTGTGACGAGCTTGCGTCAGTTGTCACACCACGTGCAACACCCACGTATTTGAGGGAGGTTGAAAAGTTCCAGATTTGAAGAGTCGGTTGCACCATAAGTGTGGCAGATTGTGTGATCGATGGATTGGGATTATTAACAAAATCATGTTTTGTAAAATTACTATTTTATATACTCGTTAGTTCTGTTGCTACTATTATATTTCAATATTATTTTTACATTTTCATTAAAAATTTATAAGCGTATAAACGAGTGAAGAACGAAGTGAGTGTGAGGGTAGTCTCAAGTGCTAGTATAACGCAAAGTTTTATTTCTTTACATGTATTCGTATAGTTATTTTTAGACCTATAAATTAAAAACCAATAAACGTTTTTGTACTTTAAGGGAATTGGACGCTCGGCAAAAAAAGTATGGTTAGAAGAGTTCCCACGGGCAAAGATAATTTCCTCAGTCTCTTTCACTAACAGCACCTATGTGTAATTCACAGTACAAAATTGGCTTTCCTTCATCATTAAACCAGTAATTTGGAACTCTCAGAGATATTGTAAAATATATAGAGTAGTCAAAAATCAAGTTTAACTTGCGGTGTAGACGTGACATAACTGACTTGACCCCGACTTTTTTTTATTGCGGTATCAATGTCTTGACCATACTTAGAAACACGTGTTAGAACAAGTTGTTGAGATTAGTGCTTTCCTTTTGTGTATCAGTGTATGAGTCTGTAAAATAAATTTTCGGCAAGTTACCTTCCTACTTTCCTTTATTATTCTCTCTCCTAAATTCTGATTTTTTTCTACAGAGTGACCGGTTGTGGCGTCGTTTCTACAAAGTCGCTTACCGCGAGGTGCTGGTCTTCCGGTCCCAGTAGATGATTTTTGATGAACTGCAGTCCTATGTCGAATTCAATCCCTCTCTGGAGGGAAATTCTAATGGCCGGCGACTCTGATCTGTGGTTTACCTTGTGTTCTCCTCTCCATACCAGGCGAGCACTATCTTAACAAACTGCCCAAGGACTTCTTTCATTCCTCATGCTTGACCCCTCCCCTTCCTTGGCATACACCCAACACATGCACTACGCACAACGCATGCACTACGAACATACACCCAACACATATATTGAGCGAAGAGTTTGTTTGACTTGGATGGTGTCCGCTGGGCGTGGTAAAAAGGGGGGGGGAGAGAAACCTCGCCAAGCGAATGTGTCGTGTTCGTTGGCGCCGAATCTCAGCAAGAGAAAAAAAACACCTTCATCGATATGCTCCAATTTGTGAAGCCCGTAAAGTTGACCAGTTTTGTGAAGCCCGGAAACTCTCAATAATCTATTACACAGTATTTCATTTCAAGAGGTAAATAGAAGACATCGCAGATTTTCGAAGGATGGAAAAAGAAACTAGACCCTTGAGAATTCCTAGGAAACAACAGGCCACAGTTACACGTAGTTGTGTTGTCGGCAATTACGGAAGGCGAGTGAGACCGAGAGGACGCTCAGGGGCGTGGCTCGGAATAAAAGGGGCGCCGCTTTGTCTGCTGCGTCTTGGCAATGAACGTTCCCCATTGATAATGTTTCTTTGACTCTGCGGCGAAGTCGTTTGCTTCTTCAGAGAGCGTGGCAGCTCTGTCAATCGCAGATTGCCGTGCCTCCCATCTCTCGCCGTAATCACAGCCCTTTTTCGATCTCTTTACGGTTCAGTCCAAAGGCCTTCTTTCTGTATACCTTCTAGTTGCTAGCCGCCAATTTAGCTATCGCGAATCGCATTGTGGAAACTTCTCAATCAAGTGAAATTGGGACCGTACTGAAAGATCCCTGCTTAAGCCATGGAATGTTTGTAAATGAAAGAAATGGATTTTATAAGTTTTGAAATTCAGTGATTGAAAAATCCTAGTTACAGATTTTTTACTAGCAATCATGAGGTGAGAAATTTATTTTATTTTATTTTATGAACTGAAACTTTTCGTACTAAACCAAACACACACAACACACACTACTTTTTCGTGTTTCATACACAGATTTTTGTTTATGCACAAGAATTTCATGCAGGTTCCAGTCAAATAAGAATCGCAAAAATGTATTTCTACTTCAACACGAAAATATTTATTGATAGATCATTTATATCTGTAAGATAGAGAAATTAGGCAATAGTCATGTGTGTATTATGTCTGAAAGTCTAAATGTCTGCAAATTAACGGGAAATTCGGTTATCGGCGGGATGATGTCACGTCGATAGCTAGAAACAGCTACAAAAAGCGCGTGTTAAAATATTGAGAATTGAGATATTCGGTGTACTTAGCCTAAATAATAGTGCTTATTTTTCACTTACGATCCTTGATGCTCGATATTCTCTCTAACCGTACAGTATTTTCGATCATTTAGAAAAGATTTTGTGGCTAAGTAATATTTCCTTCAACAGTTTTTCTGTCACGTATTATGAGTTTTACCGCCGTATTAATTTTTTCTTGTATTCTATTCTGAAATAAATTTTAAACTAACAAACCGAGAACACTGAGGCTTAATCAGCGATAATAAATTCTCACGTAAACGCGTATCAAACGTTAAAAATAAGTCCAAAACACTGCTAAGATGCTAGGTTAACAAAAAGCAAAGTGTCGAAGATCGACGACAAGAAATATCGATTGTTCAAAAAACAACATTGAGCCGGCAACCAGCGCGCTGGGCGCTGCAGCGATGGGAAAATGAATACGAATCTTGAGCGTAACTTGATTTTCATTAAGTAGTTATATGTAACTTATATATAATTACCAAAATCGTTTAGAAAAATTTAAAATAAAATTAAACTTGAGAAATATTCAAAATCTTTGTTACCGATGTATACTATTTAATGGATGAATCATGAAGTAGTGAAGTACTTAAGACCTAAAACATTCTTACTTCCCGCACCTTTCGTACTGGTGTAGTCACAGGAGAATTTAGCACTGCAGACTTCGGTGTTGGCGGCTCCATCGTCAGATCTTTTTGTCGTCTTCGACCGCTCAGAAAGGAACATTGGTCTCAAAAGGAAGAAGAGCCACCATTTTCTTTCTTCTGCTGTGGAATACAATTTTTGTTTCTTTAAAGGAGGAACTCTTAAGATGGCGCGGCTGAAATCCGACGTTTTATCCCCTCTGACGATTGTAATTTTTTCGATGCGTTCTTTTCTTGGCTTTTTCATATGAAACCGCGCGTTAAAGTGTGTTTCACTCTAACATAATGCAGTATTAGGAACTTTATTGGGGAAAGCTTGAGTGAAGTAGTGAAAGTGATAGAAATACTTGCTGTTTGCTGGTGCGCCCTTTAGAAATTGTTTGGTGTGTAAGCTTCTGAAATTTTATTGCCTGTGCGTTTTGAAATTTAGGAAATTATATTCTGCTAATGAACATGAAGAAAGATTTTATTCATAATACCCCGATGATTAACATTTGTGTTCTCCGAGTTTAGTTCCTTAAAACAAAACACGCATTTTTTTAAAGTCAGTCCTTCATCTGGTAGTTCTTGAGAAGTGCCTTTTATGTAAAGAAAGATCTAATATAACTGAAGGTTCTAATTGATGTCACTTATTGTTTCAGAGCCGAATTGCACTACACCGCCAACAGCACGCAATCAACGTTGGAAGTGAAGAAATTGCAGGTGGCTGACGAGGCTGTCTACAAGTGCGAAATCACTTACATCGAAGTGCGCGATGGATGCTCTGTCGTGCAGTTCATCAACCTCACGGCGCTGAGTAAGTACTGGGATAATAAAAAGGATTTCATCCTCACTAAAACATTTTGTCTTGCCAAAAAGCACGGATCACTTGGAAGGATATGTTCATGAAATATGGTAATAAGTTCCTACTTAGATTAGAAAAAAAGGATTGACATATTATTTTCTTCCCATCAACAAAAATATTATAAATAAAAATTCCGTAATAAAAGGCAGTATTTTTCTCGTGAGGACTTCTACCTGGATCCTTTACAGCGGCTCGCTCGGCATGAAAGATTTTTCGCCCTCGTAGCCCACTGGGTTCATATACCTCTCACAAGAGATATGTCCCCTATTCCAACTCCATTTGCGAGAAAAGTAGCTCATTTTTCTGCGGGTTGCAAGAAGTGAAGCATCTTTTTTCCGAATGTCCAATAAATCGAACACGATCCCCCGAAACACTAGTGTCATTCTGCTTTCCGTGTGATGTGTATCATATGTGCGATTCAATGTAGAAGAAAATTTCCTTTCGATTTCTTCTTCAAGGACTTCACTTCTGTTTCTATTTTATTATTATTGATCTATAGCGTTCCGAAATCTGAGAAAACTGCAACGTGTATCTCAAATGATTTCAATTTTTTCTGAATAGATGTTATCGCTAATACTTCTTATGGGGTGTTTCCTCTTTGAAATAATCTTACCCAGAATTGTCGGTATCATACTTGAACTTTCTTTTCAATTGAGTCAAAGTAAATCTTATTAAATAAATACTATATTTTTTCGAAGCCAAAGCGGTGCAAGGCAGGGAAGACGGTCGTGGTGGGAAAAGCAAAGTTGCCCAGGCAAGTGACGCTACTCACAAGGGAGATGCAAAGCTATGCAAGGCAGGGCGAGAAAGGCAACGTGTCGCGAGGCGAGATGGGGAAGGCAAAGCTGCGTGACGGGTTGCGGAGAAAGCAAAGTGTCGCGAGGAGGGGGGGGGGGAGGAGCCAAGCAGTGCGAAGCAAGGCACAGAAGGGAAAGTGACGCGAGGCAGGGCTGGAAAGGTAAGACGATGGAATGCGGTGCGGTGAGGCGAGGCACGGAAAACAAAGTGGTGCGAAATGAAGTGGGGAAGCCAAAACGACGCAATGCTGTGCGAGGAAGACAAAGTGATGCAAGGCTGGGAAGGCAATGCGACGCAAGGAGCTACAGGGATGGCAAAGCTGTGCGAAGTGGAACGGAGGAGGCAAAGTGACGTGAGGCGTGGGAGGCAAAGTGGCGCGGGGCGCGGAAAGCAAAGCGGTGCGAGACGAGACAGGAAAGGCAAAGCAACGCGAGGCTGGGCAGAGAAGGCAAAGTGATTGAAGACTGGAGGGACAAAGCGGTACGAGGCGCTGGATGCAAGGGAATAACGTCGCGAGGCGGGGTCAGGTTAGGCAAAGCGGCACTTGGGAGGACGGGGAAGACATTGCCGCGTGAGGTTGGTCGGGGAGGACAAAGCGGCGCGGGGAGGCGCGTGGAGGACAAAGCAGCTGGAGACGGTGTGGGGATGGCAAACCAGCGCTTGGCGGAGCGAAGCGGTCTGAGGCAGTGCCGAGCCGGAGGGGACAAAAAGGAGAGGCGAGGCGTGGCGGGACGGTGAGAGGTTAAGCGGTGCGAGGCTGAGCGGGGCTGGGCGGGGCGGGGCGACATAGCGTGGTGCTCGGTCTCCGGGGACGCGGCGGTCTCCCCTGCGCGCCTCACCCTGCTCCTCGCCGCGCCCCCGCAGCTCCGCTTTGCGCGGCACGGCGTCGCGGCTCGACGCGCCCTGTCCCCTGTCGCGAGCTGGGCGCGCCTGTCCACCCCGTTCCCTGTCCCCCGTCCTCTGTCCTCTGTCCTCTGTCCTCTGTCCTCAGTCCCTCGACGTCAGAGACGCCTCCGCCCCCGGCGCGGGCGTTTCGCTTCCGCTGGCACGTTCACTCGCCCCCGTCCCTGCCCTCGCGGCCGCACGCACATGACGCTTCTGTCTCAACCACTTGGCTTTCCATTCCCTAAAATATTATTTGGAACAGATTTTAGTTCTGTATATTTATAGTCTCACGTATTTTTGGAGAGTAGCTACCTTACCTGACAATTTAAAAAGTTACGCCAACAGCAAAAACAGACTGGTTTCTTAAAGCAATGAATATCTCAGTATCTATCCTTTACCTCTTTCTCCTTAGTTCCTTTTATTTTAATATTGCTTGTTTTGTTTTAGACTTAAATTCATTCTCTTTTTTTAATTCGTCTTTTCTGATTCTGAGGTACCATACGTTTTTTACGCCGATTCCTGCCTTCTTTTATTTTTTCGTTCTTCCGTTAAGTCCTCACCAACCCTCTCCTTTCCCACTCTCTCCCACAGTTGTTCTGCCCTTTCAACGAGAGGGTGTCAGTCCTTCCTGTCTTCCCAGCCCTCTTTTTCCCTCTACCTGCCACCCGTCACTCGCCGACAACGCGAACCTACGCATGCAGTCCCTTCATCACGCATCGGCCTACCTTCCCCCGGTGCTTCCGCCGACTTCCTCCGCCGCCCGCCGAGCCCCACCCACTCAATCTGCCGCGTCGTTTGCCCTTGTCCTGCGCCCTCCCCCTTCCGCCCGCGTGCGGAGGTGTAGAAGAGCGAGGGCTGCGGCTCCCAGGTTGCGCGTCGCCACGCCTGACTGCCTCGCCGAGCGAGGACGGCGGCAGCGGCAGCGGCTGCGGCGGCGGCGGCGGCATGCATCGCGGGAACAGAAGAGCGGAAATAAAAATCTCGTTCTGGCGTGGCATTTGCACGGGGCGGCGCGTTATGAATGAAACATGGCGGCGCGGCGCGGCCCTTTCCTGCCGTCGCAATCGCCGCGGGCGCGCCTTCGTCACCAGCTCTCGCTCCGGCTCCCGCGCGCCGTTTTCTTCTTTTTTCTTTTTCTTGTTTTCTCGTCGCTCGGTTCATCCCTTACTGCTCGCTTCCGACTACCCGCACACCGTCGTGTGTCACCTTCGTCCGCTGGTTGAGAACGTTCTCACCCTGTACTCGTGTGTTTCCCTTAGTTGGCTCATCGTTTAGTTGTTGTTCATCGCTGCATTTTTGTCTCGGTCGGATGCTCGGTGATTCTGTAAAGCGTGGTTATTCCACCGTTTCCTGCTTGGTTTATCTGTCATAATTTTTACATTAAAAGTAGCATCTTTCATTATTTCATTGGTATTTTTTTCTATCTTTATGTAACCATACTTACGGTTTTTAATTAGTTTTGCTGCAACCTGTACACTCTTAGCTAACAGGCGCCTCCTTCCCGCTGCCGCGTCATTTGCCACCATCATGCCGTTACCACTTATAAACAACACTAACACCATTTCCCAACCGCAACACATCACCACACAACATCTACACCGATCACCACTAACCACCAGTCCCACTACGACATCACCACCCACCACTTCCGCCGCCATTATGACCGCTACAACTCTCTCCACATCCTCCTCTTTCTCCTCCCCCTTCTCGTCCATCACCACCAATACTCCCTCCATCACCACCAGCAGCTTCTCCTCCTCGTCAGCCGCCGTCTTCCCCAGCCCCACGTCTCTTCATTCCCCGACAACCACTTTTTCGCCGCGTCATCTGCACCATCTCCCCGTCCGCCTCTCCGCCCGCACGGCCCATTCGCTCTGGAAGCCCTCCTCGCCTCCGCTCCGCGCCGATCGATTGGTTTAATAAGCGTCCCGAAATTGGCCGTGAAAACTCCTCGCGCGGGGGCGGCGTTGGGCTTCGATCGCGAGGGAGTTCATATTCGGAATGCCGGCGCCGCGCCGCTCGACAACGGCTTAACTTGGTTCGCGGGGAGATATTCGACGGGTGTTTGCGCACTTGGCACGTACGCCATCGGCGGCGGCGGCGGTGCTGGGGGCGATGGGGATGGCTATGCCGCTGGCAGTGGTGATGGCGGGGGCGGAGGTAGAGGCGGCGGGGTGATGGCTGTGGCGGTGGCGATAACGGTATTAGGGGGCGATGGAAATGCCGTGGGCGGCGGTGATGATGGGGGCAAAGGCTGCGGCGGGGGCGGAGGGAGAGGTGGCGGTGAAAGCGGGAGCGGTGCCAGGGGGCGGGAGCCAGGGCGTGGGCGAGGTCGTGGGCGAGGGCGTGGGCGAGGGTTGAGGAGGTGACAGCGTGGGCGATGACGTTAGAGGCGGCGGGGGCGTGTGTGTCAGTCGCAATAGCTGTGGCGGTTTCGTCCAAAGTGGTGGTGCTTGGGGGAGACGGTGATGGCGAAGGTAGGAGAGGTTCAGCGTCCGAAATGGAAAATGTACTCCACTCGAACGTTCGTTTCATTTTTGTTTTCAGCGATCTGTTGGATACGTTGGAAATTAATGCTTATGAAATAGAAACGCTGCAATGAACGCTTGATGATGCGGTACTTTACGCTCCTGTATTCTCCCAAGAGTCCATATTTCACACGACCTCGCATGGATGCTTTTGAACGGAATATCTGGGTAATCATGGCAGGATTGGTCGCTTTTTTCTCTTTCAAGTACCGACTTGAAAATGGAAAAACAAATCTGCCGAGTATCCATTCTAATTTGAAATACATAAAAGATTTAAAAAAATTAAATGTTTGAATGCTCTTATACCATTAAACATTTTAATATTGGATATGCTTCGAGTTCCCTATTTGTTCTGTTTTCATCACAATGCCAAAATATTGTGAGTTATTTTGTAATTATTGTTTCCTTCTTCAAAACTATTTTTTGCAATTTAAGACGCAGATATTGTATTCTAATTTTATCTTATTTTTTACATCATTATGCATGTACATTCATATTTTAGTTTCACAAAATGTGAGAGCAATGATTGCAATAAATTGCCGTGGTATAACACACTTAAAGCACAAATTAAAATTTAAGAAGAAAATTATTCAGGAAGTGAAATGAAATTAGCTTTTGTAGTTTTGGGGGTGAGCACGGAAATTCAGTACGTAAGGGGAAATGTTATCTACACGCGACTGCATATGCACTGCCCGCCCTTACATACCTGCGGGCTGAATTACCGAGAACAGAGCAGCAAAGCGCGTTTCGCAGGCGCTTGCTCTCTCTCAGCGTCAGACACACACAGGGCGCGGCCGTCACAGGAGCGTGCGCACGGCTCCGCCCGCGGGCGGCGGCGGCGACGGAGGCGGAGCGCTGCGCTTCTCCGGCGGTGCCCGTCCACCCCTCGGGGGCGGCAGCGCGCGCGCAAGGCGAGCTGGCCTGCGAACATCCGTTCCCCCACACGCCGTGCGAAGCGCCGCCACACACGGCCAACACCGCCCGCTGAAGCTGCCCCCCCCCCGCGTCACCGCGCCCGGGTTCCGTCATCAATATGTTTACACTGGCGCGGAGGCGAGGCGGCGACGGCAGCCGCCAACGTGGGCGGGGCGGGGCGGGAGGGGCGCGCCGGCGAGCGGGGGCTCGGCGGCGGCAGGCTTAATCGCAACTCGTGAATTTGATTCAGCCCGGCCTCTGTCCGCCTCTCCGCCACGTGCCGCACACTGCTTAATTTGAGCGTTGCGTGCGATGCGTCGGTGCGCTGACGCGCGCGGGGCGCGTGGGCGGGGGTGGGGCGGGGACGCCGCGAGTGGCCCCAGCTTCGCCGCGCTCGCGTCCGTGTCCGAAGCGCTACGCCCGCCGCCCGGCGGGGACCGTGTGCCAGGGAAGGCCGGGGTGCTGGGGCACAGCACCGCACGGCGCGAGTCGCCCGCCCCGTCCTCACCGAACTCGGCCTCCGCCCCTTTACTTAATACGACCTTGAGATCCGCCGCGTTTGGATCTCGATCAGAGAGGGCGCGCGGCCGCGGTTCAGCGCGGCGGTCCGGCGCGCTCGAGGCCCGGCGCAGAGGCGGCGCGGGCGGCGTCGGGCGACGGAGCGTGGATCGCAGAATACGGCTGCGCGTGTCGTGGTACGGGTCATGCGGTCGAGCGCCGGGCGTTGACCGTGGGACTGAGAGGGCCAAGCGGTGGTTGAAGGGCCGGCGCAGTGCGCGGCCGGTGATCCCGCGCGGCTGTTCGCCGGCGGGGACGAGCGGACGCCGGTCAGCTGGACAATTGCCGCCGATTGAAGAGCGAACGCGAGGCTGCGGGAAGGGCGAAGGACAGCGGCCTTACCGGGATGGGGGTTTGAGAGGACGGCTCCGCGGGCTCGCCTCGTCAGCTTCGCCCGCCGCGCCCTTTGTGGCCGCGTTGATCCGCCGGCCTGGCGAGGGTTGGTGGGGAGGGGGGAGCGCGACC